GTTCTTTTTAGCAACATCATATGACCCCTTTAAAGTTGCCTGGAGCTTTAGGTCTGGAATATGGATTGAGCTCCAAACTGGGTGAGGAGGAATGACTCACTTCTGACTCTGCTGCAAAGAGTCAGAGAGGGGCTCTATCATGCATGCTATAATTGAAATAATGAAAAAGTCATGCAGCATTTTCTCTTTAATGCAAAACAGTCAAACAGAACAGATTCACTTCACCTATACTGTACCCCAGTTTCATACTGTATCCTCAATATTAATTTGCTACTTGCCCATGAGGATTAATACCTGTAGATTTTATTGTAATGCATTGTTTTCTGTTAATTCAATTGCTTCAGTTTTAAATTCAGACTGTGCATAATGCAGCCTCATTCAAAGCACATTTACTGAACTCTTTCAGTACAGTAACAATGTTTCTCAGGTCTATTAAATATAACTCCACCCCATATAATTGCTGTTAATAGTGTTCATCGTCTGTTTGATTACGTCTTTAATTGATTTTTCCGTACATTTCTGCCATATGTACATTGACTGACAGTCACCACTGATGAGCTACCACTAAATATTGTAGAAACTTAATTTGCTGTAAAGTTGCTTTGCAATGATTTGTATCGTGAAAAGCACTGTACAAATAAACTTGAATGAATTAAATAATTAAGGGAACACAGGTGAATGGAATGAAAATCAACCATGAGGGAAAACTAGGTCACGGGGAGCACATGGGGAGAAAAACACACACACAGAACGTCCAGGGGCGTGACAGCAGCTTTTTACCTGTAAGTGCCATGACTTCCACAAGTTAAAATAAGGTAAGATATACTTTGTTGTCCCAAAAGGAAATTTAGCTTGGGCTCAAGACGAAGCCACTGCATCACATAAATCACAATACAATTCACAACATTTAACACAAATGCATAAACACATTACAAATGGAATGAATGAATGAAAGAAAGAATAAATTAATTCATATTCACAGGAACAAAGTTATTCATTTTAAACACAGACATTTAGAATGAATTCGATGAGCACAATAAATGTTAAAAGTGATATAAATTTCCCATTGACTAACATTGTTAAAAACTGTGATTTGTCTTCATTCTTACATTTGCATAATTAATTGTGATCGGTCTTGTCTTCTAGGCATATGTTTCAAACATTTGTAGTCACCTTTACACTGTAATATGGAATAAAGTAGAGTTTAGGCTAAACACGATTCTTTTGCACTATTCTGTTTCCTTCAGGAAATGCACATTATTCATACTTTTTCCATTTTATTTTCCAGATTTTTCTTCTTTATTAGAAGGTTCATCACATAAACTGAAGACAACATAATGTCCCAAAGACAGTGGAGACATTTCAACTTAAATCTGCCACATCCCATTTACAGGTTAATATTTTGCTTATTAATTTTATATTAATAGGAAAATCATAAAGGACAATATTTACACTACAGCTTTCAAAAAAGTTAACTTCAGCCAGAACTTAAAGAGCACTGAAATGAATGGCCTCTGACCGGAGATGCACATTACTTAGCATGCATGCAGCCGTTTAGGACCAAGGACAGCTCAAGACCAAACAAAATAAAAGCAAAAGGAAAGAAGTTGGGAGTCGAGGGACAAGACATGGCTGGGAGTGAATACAAAATAAGGCTACTTGTCAAATACTCCACACCAACTGACCATTCAGCCTTCAGGGTTTCTCATTGATTTCACTCTTAACACTACCAGAGTCAACGCTGCACCAAACACAAAAGACATTGTAAATAATTCTATATCTATTCTATGGCATACTAGTGCATATGAGACAGTGAGAAAGGTAATAATATGTAAGGACCGCACCATAATAACAAATCAATAAATAAAACTACAATGCAAATAAATGTAACTCTCTACTATATCTTGCTTTCTTGCATTCACCTGCTTTCTTTAGTCCTTGGATACCACTTTAACCTGTCATGTCTTGAAGTAGCTCCTGACTGCATGATGTGACCTTCAGTATAATTAGCAGTGGATGTCAGCATCCAAAGGCCACACTAAATATTAATGCACCCTTCCTGTACAACATGTTTTACGCATGCCTCAAGATCTCTATGTGATGCTGGATTGTGTGATGTGGTTATCCCCCCAAAATTTGATTTTAGATTTTACAAAATACATATAAATGTCTCTGATTGTGACATTTAATACTAGTATACTATTGTGGCACATCCTACACAGTGTATACTTCATACTGCACACTATTTTTTTTTAAATAGTAGCATGTGAAACAGCATGCACACAATTATTTTAATATATTTATTTAGCATTTTTAATCCAGCAAATACAAGTATTTTGCACTCCAATCAATGAGTAAAGAAAGAGATTAAAAATCATATTTGAGGTTGTTCATTCATCACCCTAAAAAATCAATACTAATAGCCTAACACCTATGAGGAAGTGGTAATTCTCGTCTTAATGTCTTAAGCACATGTTACAGTTTATGACTGAACACCTTGAGGTTTTGCTTGCCCCATGACAACT